AGTGAAAATATTATTATTAATTTGTTTTCAGTGGTTATGTTATTTTTTTAAACCTATTTCATCTTCTGTGCCCACATATGTGAAGCAGCAATAATAATATGACATGAAGATAAGTAAGACAACTTGCCTGCACTTGAGCCACTCATCGCTGGGCCTTATTCATGGTTACATTTAGAAAGGCTACATGATTATTTATGGACTTAAATCTACACTTTTGTATTAGCTCATTAAAATTCAAATTATGTCAATAAATTCTGGCATTGTTCTTAAAAAAATAATATGACATGTGTTTTACTTTACAGAATTTTTATAAAGATTTTAGGACGAAATACAAGAAAGCCTCCGAATTGCCACCTTGATGTTACTGGTTATATTCTAAATTTAAATTTCATTGTTGATGCAGAAATCTAGAAATAAACAAGTAGACCATCTGATTAGAAAAGTCGTCATGTCCCTCATATAGAGATTCATATACAGATATGATTTCTCCCAGGAAAAGAACCAAAGAAAAATAGGAAAAAAATGCACAGAAGAAGTGAGACTCAGAAAATCTGTAACTGAGGAAATCAGACACCAAGTTTTTCTGCTTTCTATGTTCAGAAAATACACACTGATAAGCCATCATGAATTGATTGGTTTTATTCATGAAGAGTCAAAGATGTCAGCCTAGCATGGGGTAGACACTGTAAACCCATCACTGGGAACATTAGAGAAAAGACATGATGAGATCCATTTCAACAAGCAAAACAACAGTCCTAAATATGAAAACCAACAGACAAAAAAAAAGTTAATAAAGAAATAAATGACAGAGTAGTTAGAGAAATACTGCTGAAAGCCACCTTTTTATGAGCAAAATAGATGCTTGGTTTTATGTGTGGGGGTAGTCAGTGAGATGTTTTTAAGTCTGAAGAATAGGTATAAAACTGAAGTTCTTGCTTTTGTTTTCCCAAACACTGGTTGAGCACCTCCCATATTTCAAGCACCCGGATTCAGTGGTTAAGAGAACATGCCACCTGTCTCTTAAAATTGAATAAAGTTACCAGGAAAATCATCTAAATGTTGTGACTCAGTGGTCTGTTGGAGAAGCAAAGTTGTGACTCTAACTGAGTCTGTGACGGCATAAAAGCTGGCCCTGCACCCAACAGGACTTTACACACTGGGGAGGGATCAATGGAGGTAGAGGATGACCTCAAAATCTTCTAGAATAAAAGTCAGAAGAAAGGCTCACCAGCAGAAAGCAAAGCAGGAGATGGAATACCTTTACAAAAACCTCAAACAAGATCGCTCTGTGCAGAAATACAAGATCATGAATATGTGGGTATAAATATTCCAGGACCCACAAGTTATTTCCTTTAGTTCCTTCTACTTTAGAAGATGTAGTGCAAAGGAAGAAGGAAATGAAGCTGTAGAGATTAGCAATAAGCAATCAGAATGAGCTCTGAACCATGGTAAGATACTGGGAACTTATCTTGAAAGCAATATTAATCGAGGGATATTATAGTCACTTATAACTTACAGAATTTTCCCCATAGTGTGGAATGTGTTTGATAGTGAGCATGGGGAGAATAAGAGTAGAGGTGTAGAGCCAGACCTAATTCACTCCCAGTCATTCAACCCCTCCTTTATCCCCCCACTAAAAAAAGAATGGAACAGCTTGAAGAAGAAGAAGAAAGTAAATGTTGATGTCTGAAACAAGACAGAGTGGAATAAGAAGAGGAAGTGTTTAATAAATTGTAGAGATATTTAAAATACGGGGTCAAGTCTATATGGGGATAATGAAAGAAAGGGAGTGTCAAAAGAGATGAATTGAGGTGACTTTTTGTTGTACCTTTGAGTTGTTTGCTTGTTTGTTTGGTTTGGTTTGTGGGGAGGGTCTAGTTATCTATCGTACACTGATGTTACTGCCCAGACAAAAAAGTCAAAGCATTTTTTGCATAATGACAACATTAACTAAGAAAATAATAAAACACAAGTATTTCATGAGAAAGTAAATGGAACTATAACGTATCTGTGGGGCATGCAATGGAGATACAGATAGTCAGAAATGTGGGTATAAAAAGATTAGGAGACTTCTGGGCTGAAGATAATGATATAAAGTAAAGTCATCAATGTTATGACTTTAGCTTCTGAAGCTACAAACTCAATGAGAGAACTCAAATGGGCAAACTAACAGGAGAAAAAAACAGCTAAACCCTTAAATACGGGTTTTTAAGAAACGAGATAAGATGACCATCAACATTAACATGACCAAAAAGGTGGGAGGAAAGTCAGTTCAGTTTGGTGTCCTGGAAACCAAAAATAGAAAGTTCTGGAAGAAAGAAGCTAAGAGCAACAAATTAGGTATTTCAGGGGGAAAAGGAGCATTACAACAAAAATTGCCAGTAGACCTCGAAAGAAACAACGTGGACTTTGGAGGGCTTCCCTAGAGAGGTTTGTCTAATGCAAGAGTGAACATTATGTTTAAGATTGATGCAGTAACAGTGAGGATGATGATGCAGCAACAAACAATTTCCTAAAGAAATTTTAGATTTCTGAGCTTGAAAGTTAGTAAGAATAATTTATTTGGAGAATAAAAATCTTATGTAATCTATACGAACTTTTCGGAAGGCCCTGATATAAAATAGGAAAATGAATGATGAGGCTCACAGGAAGTGACCTATATTCAAGCAGAGTGCAAAAACACAATGTGATCAATTTCTCATTGTTCAGTACAAGAGGCATCCTAATCCCTTGGCATCCCAGACCTGAGTTGACTCATCTTAATGATAAGAGTCAGTGTGATTTGATAAAGAGAACATTATTGCAATTACTCTAAAGGTACTCTTTAGCTTTACATATATTTGTCCAAGAGACTTAAACACATGGCAAGTGAGTGCAAAGTCCTTAATAAAGCTTCACATATCATCTGGCAGTAGCACTCTTAATGATGGACTTTTCTGTTTCTTTAAGTTTGTATGCTTTCATATAACAGATTGGATGTCCCGCATTTGGTTGGACAGCATCTCCATACCAGTCGCAACAACCTGTTGCAATTTAGATGTAACTAGAACGAAGTTTAGTTGGGATTTGTTAACGGCTGCAAAGCTTCCTGATACAAGCTTGGGATAGCAGAGGGGGTGCGAAGAGCAGTTACATTGTGCTCATTCCTATACTATCATTGCTTTCTTTCTTTTTTTGTGTGTATTATTTGGGGGAATTCAGAACACTGGCTTCCATAGATGAAAATGAAAGACTATGCATATTAAACAAAAGAAAAATAAAGCATTTGGGAACCCCGCTCTAATTTTTTATGTAAACTCTGAATTGTGAGTACAGCCATTATTCTTTTTTGTGTCTCATGATTTTCTTCATAAATCACGTATGACCTTCTATGTTCTTACCCTAAATGTCTGGGAGAACCTATCCCAAGTCACTGTGTGAATCCAGGAAAAATAGCCCTTAGCCTCAGTAGGTAAAGGAGGACTAGAAAGTCAAGAGACTGCTAAAGACAGGAATCATCTGTCGTCTGCCGCCAGTGGGTTTGATTCCAAGTCAGCCCTTTCTCTCCAGGGGTCCTATAACATGTCATTGTCAGAAGCACACTAAGGTCATAAAGGCCCTCCATCAGCTTCCTTCTCCTGACACTCAGTGACTCTCAGGTGTGGCTTCCCTAAGTACCATCCATGTCTCTTCAAGGCGGTCAGATAGTTGTTTCTTTAAGCAGAAAACCCGTAACTGTATCTGTAATGGGTAGAACAAGTGACAAGGAGCAAGTCTCTTTCATTATTGAGATCCTTCATGTTTTCTTGCCTTCCTCCCTCAGAAATGTATTTTTACAGCTACCAAAAAGACAGCTGTGTTTAAAAAAAAAGAAGAAGAAAAGAAGAAAACGGGAGAGTCACAGTCATCCCCCAGCCTGGCTATTTGTAATCAGTGTGTAGCCTCGGTGGTGATGAAATCTGAGTAATTCACTTGCCACCCTCCCCAATGAAGCCGACCAGAGTGGGATCTACTGTTGCCACCCTGAGCACTAATGAAGGAAGCCAGGCGGCAGTACTGCTTGCCCTTGGGGACTCGTTTTTCACATCACCAAAAGTAATTTCTGTCATTTTCCACCATCTGGTTGACTGGACTGTGAAGATGAAATTCTGTTCAAGAAGTGTTTAAGAGTGGACCCTGCTGGGACTCAAATGCCTTTTCTGGTTTCACTTATTCTCATCTGTGCCTTGGTTTCTTACAATGTCTTTATAGAATGCCCTGCCTTATATGAAGTGATTGAAATACTTTGTAAGCACCTAATACATCATAGTATATATAATACACATTTCATTAAAGTTAGCTTATTATTTAGTTGGTAATAGTAGTATTAATGGAAGTATTAAAAATAATGCTATAGCATGTTGATAATGTCTATTTACTTAACACAATAACTATTAATTCAATTTATATAATCTAACCTATTATGTACATTTAACATATAGCATATGCAGAAAATAATATGTAGAAACTTCCTATTTCATTGATTATTTTATGAATTTTATATGTGGATACCACATCTTACTAAGACAATGCTATAACCTAACAATAAATATTGATTATTCTTTCCTTTGCATTTGGAGGTTGTATTATATTCTTTGTTACATCTAAAATGAAAAATTCAAGTGACAGTGGTATGGAAATTTATTGTAAAAATGTTCAGGATGTGATTGACTGCTAATATTTGGGTAAGGCTTGTCCTTACCAGAAAAGAGCTAGCACGTTTTCATTATACATATCTTAGGTACTTCCACAGCACTCAGATGGCCAGAGTGGGAGGTATTTTCACCTTATAGATGTTTCAGGAACTCTGGAGAGATTTGGAGAGGAAATAGCAGGTGTGGGAATTAAAAGTATTCTGGCTACATGGTGTGAAATTTCAAATTTAGCAATAAAGTCTGTAATGTACCAACTTCACTTTTCTAGATCACAGGTAGTTTGCTTTTCCTGTCCTGACTATATATCCCATTTCCTTCTATCTACAGTTCCACCAAAGATCTCCAATATCTCCTCGGATGTCACTGTGAATGAGGGCAGCAATGTAACCCTGGTCTGCATGGCCAATGGACGCCCTGAACCTGTTATCACCTGGAGACACCTTACACCAACCGGTAGGCAACTGGCTAGATTCTAAGATGCCACTTGATATCTAAGATTCTATTGCATCAAAAGGGAAAGCATGCGTCTTTTTATTAATACTCAGAAAGCTGCAGCATAGATATTGTTTAGGGGTCCAATAACTTTGGCTAATATGTTAATCTTTTAAGTAACTTAGTAATATTTGTATCACCTTTCTATCATCTACCCAATCTGTGTATAAATGTTGATACACAAAGTTGTTACTCAAAATAGATTAACTTTCAAGGGAACAACTATAAAAACATTAAATAATGCAGATACACACACACACACACACACACACACACACACATATATATTACATGCTATGCAGCAAGAATAATAAAAGAAAAACAGGATATCAACTTGGGATCAGGAGGGGATGGAAGGGAATGAAGGGGTTAATGAAGGAGGGAAAGTGATAAAATTATATTTCAACTAAAACATGTTTAAATATAAGCTGTAAAAATAAAGCATATATTTAAATGCAGTATTTTAGTGGTTCAGTGTCTTTGGTAAATGCTTTGTATAACTTTTTATATTACTCTCTAAAGCCATTTCAATCACAGTTTCCTCCTTCATGAAGAAATTAGCAACAAAAATCACTCTGATTTCCTAAAGACCTGGACTTGGCATCTACCTCTGTGATGGTTGCCAGGCATGAAACAGGCATTGGGAATATTGAGTCCAGTTAATGACACCAATTCAGTTAAATTCATAACATGAGTTGGCAAGCAAGTCTTCTGTACCCTTCCCCTTTTTACCACCTGTGGGCCAAATTCTACCTGCTCCACTCATATAATCACTGCCTGTAAGCCAGAGTTCTTAAAAACAAACTTTCTGAATGGACACAAATAATCAAAAGAATTCTGAATTTTATACATAGAACAAATGTTTAAACTTCAAACTTGAGTACAGATACATCAAGTTTTATTAGAGACACAGCCATGCTGATTTATTTGCATTTGATCCATGACTCCCTTTGATCTAAAACCACATACTTTGGTAACAGCCACAAAAGTACTTAGGTCACAAAGCTTGAAATAGGGTGAAATATGTTAATTTTGCCTCTTAGATTAAAATGTATACACCTCTGCTTAAGATCATATCCAGAGACATAAACAAAGATTTACTAAACTCACATATGGTCCATAGGATTTGTGTGTATCCTATGTCAGGTTCCTTCTTTGTTTATCTATAGATGTATATGCCAGCTTTCTCTCGGGATGAAATTACGTGCTGCTATACTCAAAACAACTCCTTGATGTTTTTGTATACTCCACATCAGGCCGCTCTTCCCCTTACAATGGACATCACTTTCCAAGTTTATTCTTTCCTCTATCACATAGGCAAATTAATAACCAAATAATAACCAAACAACAATTTGACCAGAGCTGTCTTCCTAATGACAGGTGTGAGAACTTAATTCATCTACTCTTTTATAAAACAAATTAGGTCATGTAAGAGTGTGTGTGTGTGCGTGTTTCTTTGAGAATTTGGAAAAGAGTGATCTTTTAAGCCAATCCATTGCTACCTTTATTGGAGATACTGGAGAAAGATACTTGCTCCCTGTATGACTATAAAACTGCCTACAAATCATTGTCACATGATGGTGAAAATCCAGATAGCTTGTTCAATTATTAATTGGGCCTTTCACAGTATAGTGTGTGACCGCTTTCCAGAAGAAATGTAGCTCTGATTAGCTAGACCCCATGGAGGACACAGAGACCTAAAAGGGGAGGATGCCATGCAGGGAATCGCAAATGTCTGATGACGTGTCATTTGATGTCATGAAAAGGGAGCAAGGTAGAAAAAAATTGAATGGTATCATTTTTCTCAATTCAGTTGTTTTGCTAGATTTTATTGTTAGATTATCTAGTTTCTCCTTCTTTTGATCCTTTAGGGTCCCCCCCCCAAGAATTCTGCAAACATTTTTAAAGAAGAAAACTGGAAGTATCATAAACTTTTCATATATTTAAAATCAAAATGCCTCACTTGGACTTGCAGTTCTGATTTCTTAAATTGTTCTCATTTTCAGTTAGTTATCCTGTCACAATGAATGTCGCATATGTGACTATCACACATGACCTATATTTTCCTACCTTAGTTAAGTCAGTCTTTCATAGCCCTGTGGATCCCGAAGGTTTACTGCACCATAATATGGATTTGCTATGGCATGTCTGATCTTCCTTCTTGAGCAATGCTCCTTCCATCATCCTATGATGTCACTTCAGAATTTTTCTCCTGGCAGTTGTGGGGAATCCTTCCTCGCAAAAGTGCCTCATTTGGTTTCAAGAGCGCTCAGGTTCACAGGGGGCGTTTGTGTGCATTTTGCTTCAATAAAGGTTTACACAACCTCAGAACCTTTATTTTCCTGGAAAATCCCAAACCCTGTGCTGAGGATTTCACCCCTGAGGCTGAGACCAGCACAGGAGGTACTATGTAATTTTCCTGACAAGCTAAAAGCAAAGTTTGGCACCAACCAAGAGAATAGAAATCCTACTTAAGAAATGCCTGGCTACATGGGTTTGGAAAAAAAAAAAAAAACATAGGTTGTTAAACTCGAGTCATTAAGTAATACTCCAGAAGGTGCTCCTAGTGGCCATTGTCTGACCTTTTAAGATATTATGTTAGTTAGTTTAACCTCATATTTAGCACAGATAATATTTGTGGTCTGTAGTTTAAATTTTATGAAATTATTTCTCTGTACTGTTATCTTATGGTTCTCCAGAAAGTTCCGAGTGGACATCGTTAACATCGGGCTGGGTAAATCTATCAACTTTCCCATTAAAGACTGCTAACTCTTCACCGGATAAAATAAAACTACAACATGTTCTGTGGATTGCTTTCCTTTATGCCTTGAATTCTTTATAATTATTATTTTCTTTTAAAGAACAAAATTAAAAATGAGGGTTTTTTTTTCAGTTTCTAACTTGAATATTGTTTTCAAATTTGTCATCCATTAACGCAGAACTGTGTTCAGATTTCATCTTGCTCTTACAAATTGTTCATTTGGTCAGAGGTGTTTCTAGAGTGCTTACTTTGAGAAAAGACACATTGAAGTGTAGGATGGACACGGTCCCTGAACAAATGGAGCTTATAGTTCAACAGAAAAGCAGAGCATTAAACTAATAATTACGTGAATAACCCTTTAATTAGATTCATACATTATAAAAGAAAATTATGGCATTCAATAAGACCATAAAACAGGGCCATATAGCAAAATCTGCTGAGCCAGCAAAGCTCCCCTGAGGGAATATTATGCTGAGATTCACAAATTAATAGTACCTGTCTGAGAAAACAGAGGAAGAAAGAGTATCTTAGGCATACGCCATGGCAAATCCTAGGGCCTGGCATAAAAATACCTGCAGGAATTTAGATGAAGGTCTTTATGTGAAACATGATGTTAACAGTGTCTGGTCATGCTACTTTTCATGCTTAAATTCCTCGATTTGAAGACACTCAATGTGATCTTGCTTTTTAATATTCTGCTTCTGTCTCTTAAGAGTCAAGAAAAACCAAGAAAAATTGTATCATAAATTTTTAGGCCCTTATTTATAAATATGCCATCATGTAATACTACATATATTATAGTAGTGTATACTATATGGTTGTGTGCTATATATAATATAGTGTATATAAATTATATTATGTTATCCACATATATTGCATTACATAATGGCATACATGGTCAGTCACAACACATACACACAGACACACACAGGCAGATTCATGAAAAAGATGAAAGTTAGATAGGGTTTTTATTGCTGTGCAGGCACCATGACACCAGTAACTCTTATAAAGAAAAATATTTAACTGAGGGTGGTTTGTGTGCTGTTTCAGAGGCTCAGTCCATTGTCATCGTGCTGGGGAGCGTGGCACGCAGGCAGACATGGTGCTGGAGTCCTTACATCTTAATAGGCAACAGGAAGTTGGCTGAGACTCTCGGCTGTATCCTGAGCACTGGAAACTTCAAAGTCCACCCTGACAGCGATACACTTACTCCAAGGCCATGCCTACTCCAACACAGCCACATTTTCTAAAAGCACCACTTGCTATAAGTTTATAGGGCCAATAGCATACAAACTACCACAACAGATCTCGATTTTAAAAATATTGTATATACATATTGGTATATATTTTACTCTCGGTGCCCAAGAATCAAGTACAAACCTACAGAATTCAGAAGCAGAAGGGCCAGAGGATTCGTAGTCAGAGACAGTCACAGGGAAGATAAGAAGGTCCAACAGGTAAAGGTGTGCTCAAATGATGACTCAAATCATCTATGAGATCCACATGATGGAGGAGAATAGATTCCCACAAGGAGTTTTCTTATTTCCATGACGATGCCTTCCCAAATACTGTGAATAGTGTAATCTCTTAAAGTGTGCATGATGAGGTAAACAATATCTAAACTACAAAGATGAGAGTGATCCTAGCTCCTTTTGCCACAGCCAGGATTCATTTTGCATAATGTTTCAATTATTTTCATTAGTAACCGAATCCTTTTCTTTCCCCCATCACTGTCACAGTATAGTCCAGCCAATAATTTCTCTGACTTGCCTTCATTAGTTTCTTGATTGGACTCCTTACTACTATTTCTCAGTATATAACATGGTCAAGCTAATATTCCTGCTTGCTTTCCAATATCCTAGGACCTTTGGAATAGAGCTCAAACTTCTTAGCAAGGTGTTAAAGCCCTTTCCAGCCAATTCTTGTACCTCAGAATATCTCTCTCTCTCTCTCTCTCTCTCTCTCTCTCTCTCTCTCTCTCTCTCTCTCTCTGTGTGTGTGTGTGTGTGTGTGTGTTTGTGTGTGTGTGTGTGTGTGTGTGCGTGCATGCGTGCCTGCACATGGCGTATATATGGAAGTCAGAGGATAAATCATCAAGGTTGTTTCTCTCTTTCCCCCAGAGTTTTGGGGTTCAAACTCGGGTCACCATTCTCAGTAGCAGGAGTCTTTGCCTGCTAGCCATTCCACCCACCCTCCTTTA